CGTGGTTATTCATCGAAATTAATGTTTTGTAATCTCTGAATATATTAGAGAAGAATCTCTATTTTCATAAATGTGTTTACATAGAAATGTAGGATAAGGTTTAGAGCAGTCATGAATAAGGATCAAACATTACCTTAAAATGTAACAAACTGATAAATGAACTAACACTCCTTACCTCGGTTGGTAATCCTAACGAACAACAGAAACGTTTTAGAAAGTCACTCAGGAGCTTTGAAGTAACAGATCATATATATCTTGGCGGTAGAAACCGAAATTCATAGTTCTTATTTAAGAAGCTTCAAAGAGTGGTTATTTTCTCATCTACTTCAATAATAACTCAAGATATAGGCAGAAAATAACTTAGGCTAGGCATTATTTGGTTATTGTTTTATCGCTTAGATGCACTTGGAGTAGTAATGATGCTGTACTCTATTGGTCTGGTGAAAGTCTAATCAAACTTGCCGGTTACATAGTGTAAATAGCAAAAGCTCATCATTATGAAGATATTATTGTCAACCAATTAACTTCTTTAGAGTCTATTTCGAAGATAGCTTCCGTGACATAAATCTGCTTTCTGATTCCTGAGTCCGTCTTGATAATGAATATTGGTCAGTAGTGAAATCAAGTCACGTGTTTTATCCTATTTATGACTCACCAGCTGGATGTGCTTGAGTTCCATTAGGTGACGCTGTACCCTCTAAGACTCATCATCATACGAGGAGTAAATGAGTGGCTACCATGAACTGATGGCCTAGTGGATAATGCAGTGGCATTTGCAGTGTTCGTTCTTTAATTAGAGTCTTTGTCGGAACAACACCAACTAAGAGGCATGTGCACCCAGCCGACGAGTCCTAAATGGGACGAAACAAGCGTCTTGGTTTCAACTGCTAGCCACTCATCTATCCATGATATCAAATTTGAAAATGCCTCCAAGTTGGGGCATCCTGACCAGAGCCTACTTACCAACAGTGACTGTTCAATTCGGTCCAACAAACGACTGACATGAATAAGCTATACATAACAGACTCTGAGTTAACCTTTCTCACTGGTTAATTCTGAAACTTCCAACCAATTAATTAAATAATACAATCTCACTGAATACATTTAAAGTTGCGCGTACTTTAAAAAAAATCATATTTGACGTAAACGAATCAAGAATTATTTACCTTGGTATCGAAAATGTAAATTGCGCCAGCAACATATAAGTAGGACTTAAATGAACATTCAAAATATGCATTTGAACGAAGCTCAGCTGTTGGTTGAAACAGCCAGTCAACCTAGGTAAGGAAGATTCTACCGTCGGATACCTGAGTGTAGGCTTCACGGATATAACTGAAAATTGTACAAATTTACCTCTCATATATACTATTACAATATTATTATTATTTATTATTTTTCCCTTGGGTTCCTAGTGGGACACAGGGCTTCAGTAGCTCGCCTCCATCACACTCCGTTCTCTGCAGTCTTTTCAACCTGGCTCTACCACCGCCCAGAAGCTCTCATTTCTTCCTTACACCATCTCCTTCATGTCACCCTCAGACGCCCAAGTAATCGTTTCCTCTACGGATTCCACTTGACAGCCTGCCTGGCATGTGATTTCCCTTGTCGGCTTCCTCAGTGTATACCTAATCCAATTCATCTCCTTTTTCTTCTGCATATCTGTTGGGTGATAGGTTCTTGGTTGGTTTGTTGCCAGACAAAAGTTCCTTGTTGCTTATTCTTTCTCGCCTTCTCATCTGATCTCAGTACCATGTGAGCGTAGGTGGCAGCTGTTGATGAATATCTGTAGTCTGTTGGAAATGCTTTCCGTGAGTCGCCAAGTCTCTGAACCATATAGAAGCAATGACTTGAAATTAGTTTTCTTTATTCTGAGTGCAGTAGATCTCCTTACTGATTTCAGATTAGGGAAGAAGGCCTGTCTTGCTTTTTTTCTGATCCTGCCTTTGACATCCTCGTCTGTTCCACCTGTAGTCTAAACCATGCTGTCTGCCTACATAGGTGAAAGAGGCTACTTCCCTGAGGTTTCTGCCATTGATGGCGATTGGTGCTTGTTGTTCATGCTGTTGTTCGTTAAGTATCTTCACCACCTCCGTCTTTTCTACATTCACTTGAAGTCCCGTCTTCGCTGCCTCTTCTGAAAACTTGTTAATTTTCGCCTGTAGATCTTGCAGTTTGTGTGACATTAGACATGAATCGCCATCTTCCGCGAATTCCAAATCTTCTAAACTGTTTTTATCGGTCCAACCAGCTTATGCTGCTCTTCTCGTTCCTCACAGTTTGCTGCATGATTCAGTCTACCACAATTAGGGAGATCATCGGTGGTGATAGTAGACGGCAGTTTTGTCTAACTCCTGCCTTCGCTTCACTTCAAAGGTGTCGCTGAGCTTTCCATTGTGGATCACTTGGCTTGTGGCGTCTTCATATAGCTGTTGAATGATGTTGATCAGGACTAGTGGCACACTATCACAATATAAACTTAATTATTCATAGAATAAATAGAAACCTTTGATTTTGTGTGATCTCAGTAGTAATTGCACCTTGTTATTTACCACAATATAAAAAAAATTATATGTCTTTGTTATTAAAGCAAAAGGTGCAGTGTAACTCAAAAATAGCACTTTTGATGAACTGAAGTCGGAAGAAAAACCGGGACTTAACTATCCTATAATGGCTTCAGTAAGAAGATGAAACCCACGTTTAGATATATGTGAACTATATAGGAAACGAAAGAACATTTGTTTTCGTTTTACAGTGAAGCTGTCACGTTTTATCCGCAGCAGTTGATTTAGAAACATAACATATTCTATTAAAATTTAAAGAAAAATCTAAGAATATGAAATATTCTGCTTTTATTTGGATCGAGTTAGTTGGATTATATAATGCTGAAAAATGGCTATACATAAGCGAAAAGAAAGCAAATTACAAGCCATGACATCAAAAGTGGTGTTTACTGTGATCCACTAACCCATTAGGTAACGCCATGTTACTTGAAGTGATATACTTTGGTTCAAGCTACACTTGGAACACTAATACTCACTTGAATGGTAGACATATCAACCTGATGAATATCAAGGAAGTGAGTGTCCTAGATTCCACTCTCCATCAACATTAGCTTAAAATCGGCTAAACTGCGCAGGGGATAGAATTGTTTTATTTAAGGAACAATACATTTCCTCATTCGTTCTTCATTGGGATGAGCTGATATTCCTAAATTGTAGGCTGAGTAACCATTTTATTGATTACCTCCAAGAATCTTAAACTTCATAAATACCTTACTAAATGATATTTATTCGTTCAACAGATTTATTGATGTTGCAGAGACTTTTATCAATTGAATCTCATTTACAAGTTTGCTATGTACCAAAGAGTTCTATGCTTACAGGAAAATAGTATGCTCCCTACTTTGTGCATAAAATCAACAAAAAGATTTGTAACTCCATTATTGAAAGCTAAAAAAAAACAGAGAAATAATTTAAAAGTTCATTTAAATGGAAATTCACTTCCAATGCTCACAGTTACTGCACCTTCTATCAATGATGCAATGACACATTATTGCAAAACCTACTTCAAACTTATAAAAATAAGCTTTATAGGTCAATATATCCTACTGACCCAATTAAGCAGAATAACTTAGTGAACCAAATCCCTTGCTACAACTGTGAGGTTAAAATTAGTAGACCCTAGTAAAATAAATTATTTAAACAAAAACTTAGTCATAGCTATGCATGCAATTACAAGCAAACATACAGCAATAATCCCTGAAACTAACATAACCGGGTGGAAGGGGAGATTGAAAACTGAATATTTCTTTGAAGTTGAAGAGAGTTGTGGGGATTTAGAAATATTTCAAGTTGTCATCATCGTAGACTGACATCACTTAGAGGAACAAAGGAAACATGGTAGCGCTAGACAGCTGTTTCGTCGTAGTATGGGACTCCTCAGTAGTGCGCACCCTTGACCCCCCCCCAAAGATTGAACCAATGACCTTCAGGTTCTGTCGTCAGCACGTTACGATTGAACCACTGGGATCAGAATCCAATCGTCCATATTTCCATCTTCTGTTAGCTCACGATGTAGTGCAACCGCCACCCAATGTCATTGTTGAGTAACTGTCCTCACGACCACCAGAAGTTGGAAATATGGACGATTGGATTCTGATCACAGTGGCTGAATCGTAACGTGCTGGCCACGGAACCCGAAGGTCGCGGGTTCGACCCCTGGCGGGGTCGTGGGTATTCTCTGTTGAAGAGTCCCATACTGGGACGAAACAGCTGTCCAATGCTTCTAGGTTTCCTTTGTTCCTCTAAGTGATGTCAGTCTATGATGAATAACAACTTGAAATATTTCTTTGTCAAAACAACACCTGATACATCCGGATATATGTAAAAGCCTACCACTCATATTACAAAGTGGGCGAGGAAATTAGAACTATATAAACGATGTCCCAAAGTTGTGTAGTTATCTTGATATGACGACTATGGGCAATAAACTGTGTCCGAAACGTAATCCAGTAAGCAATACTGTTTTGCTGTGTGATAAATCTGCTAAATCAGTTAAAATGGAACTACATTCTGCCACAATACTGAAGGTTTTACTCGTATACCACTTCAAGCTTAGTCTGATTGTTGTGAAAAAGTTCAGCGAACTTGGTACTGAACTGACTAACCTCCGTGAACTGTACGCACCTCATGAGTGTTTGTAAACATTGGACCACAATTACGATTGCTGTTTTGAATAAATCACTTCTGATTAATACTGATAAGAAATAATGATACATTATTGTAGTTAAACAGTCATTATGAAAAATAGCTTTTGTGTCCTGTTATCTAACTCTGACAAAATACTACTTATGCATGTTAATAGGAGAGAATTCTATATTAAGAATGGACATGAATATCTTGAAGAATTAAATATCTGAAACACTTTATAACTTTACAATAATTTTCACCGATTATATGATAGAAAGAATCTTATATCGAAGACAGAATAAAGTGTCTTACCTTGAGAACAATCAGAAGTTGGCCTCCACTTCACTGAAATGTTTCGAACACGGAAATCACCGTTTTTGATTTTTTGGTAAATTAGATTCCTTTGATATAAATTGAGCAATTAAATTATCGAAAAATATATTTAGACTAGTCAGTACTTTCTTTTCTGAAGAGAAATCCTCCAATCATGAAAAAGGAAATGACTTCATAAATAAACTTTAGTCGCCTATTGGCTAGATAGTCAAGAATCGTTTTCAACAAGAAAGTTTAGTTTATTATTTAGTGCATCATTGGTGTTTGCAGAATTTATAATCCAAAACAAAATACCAATCAAAATTAAGCACTAAAAGGTATAAATTAAGTACAAACTTTGAACCCACACAATCCTAACCAGCTGAATTCATGGTGAGACAGGTTTATTTGATAAACCTACCTTTGTCGTAACAATGTCATCAATAGTAAATTTTAGCAAATATTCATTATTCGACTTGATGCTTATAATTTCGAGCTGAAGATGATCAAGTTTATTATTTCCCATTTTGGTTCCTAATGGAACATAAGGCTTCAGTTGCACGTCTCCAGTGCATTCTCTTCCCTGCAGACTTTTCAACCTCGCTTCACGACTGCAAACAAGCTCTCATTTCCTCCTCACATGATCTCCTCCATGTCACCCTCAGCTCAGACAGCCAACTCGTCGCTCCACATCTGAGTTCCACTCGACAACCTGACTTGGCCTGACGCGTGATGTCCCTAGTCGGCCTTCTCAGTGTATGCCCAGTCGATCTCCACTTCCTTCCAGTGCATATTTGTTGAGCGATGGGTTCTTCGTTGGTTTGTTCCAAGAGTGAGTTCCTTGTTGCTTATTCTGTCTGACCAACAGTCAAAAAATAAGGGGATTGATGGTTCCTTTACACAGTAGATATACAGTGATCCATAAGTTTCATTTATCAACAGCGTCAGGTGGTAAAACTAAATGTTTGATAGTCCGCGCAACAAGCGTTTACATTTTGAATAGTATCCATGTATTTAGTCGGAAAAAATCTTTCAAAAGGGAAGCAACCTGAATACATCTTATCCCTACTGATTAACACATAAATATACTTACATATCCAGCATAGCTAGGTAAGTAAAGCTGAGAACAACAACTACGTGGCATCCTGTTAGACAGTGTCACCTATGAAAAGTATGTGACCTGCAAAGCAATTACTTTCTTTTGAATTCTTAGAGTCTACTTCAATAAGAATTTCAGAACAGTGGTATTGTTCAAAAAAAAACAATTAAACGTCACTTAATGTAGGTAACCAGTCTGAATAAATAAAATTCTGACAAGGTTTACATGCCCATGTTCGTGTTTGTATTCCATACAAAACTCACACCTAATATGCTATGCACGATACTTCCGATCACTGTGATCTAGGTGTATCCAAACTACGGAACAGTTGGTTGAGAAAAGTAAAACTACAGTGAGATCAAGGGATTAATTTGAATGCAAATGTAGGTATCATTTTGAATAGATGTTTTTAAACAGGATTCTAAATAAAGGTAAGTGAGTAATAGTCACACAAGATGAAAACTGACATTACCTTAATCAAAACGTTTTTCGCCGGCATAACGGAACCAAATGCAACAAAATTCAATGGAACCAGTTGTACTTAAAACGTACTTCTTGTTGCAAAGTGAAGAAAATTTCCTTCTAGGTTAACATTAGATAACTATGCCTAGAACAGAAAAGATATTCATCGGATTGATAATATGTACAGTAATTCTACCCAAACTCACTGAGTACTACAGTCATAGCAAGTAGAACTAAGGTTACCAGGTTTCCACTGATTTGTTTTAAACAGGGTAAGGATTGACCGAGTTCTGTATTTCTATATTGGATATGGGATAGGCATAACTTAAGTGACTGGTTCTCCATTGCATACAACTCTGAACAACAGTTTATCCAAATAAAGTTAATAGGTGACACCTTTCTTAAAGGTTTGTTTTTTTATATTATTCAGAATAACAAGCCTAAATTAAAAACAGTCTAGGATCTTGAAACTGGCAGATACAACATCTTAATCCACATTCGATGGAAATGTTACATTGCCTTTAAATAATACAAATTCTCCTTTATCGTTTTCCAAAGTTGATGGTGATAATTTGTTAGTATTTGAAACAATTAGTCCCTTTTATGAATTTGGATAATGTAATTAGAAGATGTAGATTATCTGAAAAATGTGATGTATTAGCGCTATACATTTCGAACAATCTGATCACACCGCCTGACATTCTTGAATATACTCCTAAGTCGTAGAAATGATGGTTCAATAAAACGGTCGTTCTACAAGAAACCTACTTGGACAGGTCAGTATTTAAGTTTCCATAGCTTTTGTCCAACCCAATACAAGCGAGGTTTGGTAACTTGTCTATTTAAAAGGATCCAGCGTATTTGTACGGAGGACTCAATGGATGATGATATCAAAATACTAACGGAAACATTAGTGGAAAATGGATATCCATTGAAGTTCATAAACCGTTGCAAAAAATCAGCGAGGATTCAAACCTGATCTGTACTCTGTTTGGAAGAAATGCATTTACATAGCGTTACCATACAGAGGAGAATTTAATAGCATAATATTAAGACGAAGGTTAAGGTCTGCTGTTAGCAAAACGTACTATGCAGCTAAGCTTATCATAGTTGAAAAGACCAAACACCTGCTGCTACCTAGACCTCAACGCTGTATAAACGATTGTGTCACATACCACTGCGTTTATAAATTTACATGTGTGTGTGGACAAACCTACATAGGGAGGACGAATCGTGATATGCACTTGAGGGTAGGGGAACATGTTTCAAAGTGGCTACGAAAACAGCTGGATTCACAAACATTGATAAGCGCAGACAGCAGACAACCGTCATCATCCACTGCGAAGCATATCATTGATAAGAGTCACAGAATTGATATCAAAACAGCCTTTACAATTTTGTACAGAACTTGTCAGGGGCGTATACCTAAGTTTGTTGAGGCGCTAGCCATAAATAAATTTAACCCCTTATTGTGTGTGCAAAAACAGTTTGTCCTTATATTAAGCCTACCTTGGTAATGCTTATTTTATCGTATTACCAAGATTGTCTTCAAGTCTTATCTTTTATTCTTCTCATTATCTTTCTTATTATCGAATCCCTTTATATCATATGTGTTCTTCCCCCACTTCCAGTTTTCATATATAACGCCTTAACAAGTAAATGTGTGATCAGATTGTTCGAAATGTATAGCGCTAATACATCACATTTTTCAGATAATCTACGTCTTCTAATTACATTATCCAAATTTGTTAGTATGCAAAATGTTAATATAAGTGTACACCTTATGCACTGTGGTAAAATTTATTCCCGTATTAGACTTGTTTATTTGATTTATAACACATATGGATACAATATTATTTACGTGATAATGTTTCGAGCATAAATTATCAATGCTGATGATCATATCAATGTAATCACACTACTTTCAATATCTGATTTTCACAGTCCTATCACTTTGCATTCTTTGTTCCTATTGCTAGTAAAAAATTTCATATCTCTGTGTTACGTCATTCTTATTACATGTGTTAGATGTTTACCATATGAAGAGATTCAGAAAACGTCTGATAATATCATGATTAAAATTACGGAATCTTTGGCCAGTCTTAAACTCTGACTAAAGCCATCTCTAAAAAGAGTCTTAATGGCTCACTGAGAGCCTAAACTAACAATCCTAGCAAAATGTATGATACCAGTGAGATTTATAAGCCAGACTATTCCAATAGATGCCTAGTTGACTTCAGAAATACCCCAATACATGAACTAGCAAAGTATCTACCATCGATATTATGTCCTATTAGAAATCATTCAGGTTCTAGACTGGTAGATTCTTATGAGTTAACATCAGGGCTTACTGATCTGTACATGGAAAAGAATGAAAAAATGGGTAGTTTCGATGTAACAAGTATTTATACTAAAATATCAATCAATATGACACTGGGGGCAGTCAAAAATCAACTAAATATTGACTCAGAACTCACTCACAGAACTAAGATATCGGTTAGTGAAATCATTTTAGGCGTACAGTTTTGCCTTACCTCTAAAGTATCCAAGTTTCAGGTCCAATTATGTAGACATACGGAAAAAGTAGTAATAGGATCGCCTATATCACCAACCGTAGCAGACATATTTATGGAAAGTTGGGAAAAAAAGCTTTAAAAATCTCTACTCCTGCACCAAAAATATGGTGGTGACATGTAAATGAAACATTTATGGCGTTGAAAGTAGAATACATCGATAATTTCCTCAAAAATAGAAATTTCATAGCAGTCACAATCTAATTTACATATGAGGTATAAAATAAACAAGGAGAATCACCTATGTTGGATGGCAGGGTAGAATGAAAGACAGATACTAACGTCTACAAAAATCCAACACATTCCAACAGGTATCCATACTTCAAGTTAACCTATCGCAATTCAGTCCAAGCAGATTCAGTCAAATGTCTAAGTGATAGTGCTAGAAAACTGACTAGTCAGTGCAGAGACGTAGACAAGGAACTGAAGCACATAAAAGAAGCGCTAATAGTTGAGAATTACCCCCTACCGTTTATTGAGAAATCCGTGCGAACACACACGAAACGAAATGATAACAATAACGTGAGTACGAATGATAATGACAACATGAGTAGAAAGTTCACAGCCTCCACTGTGTTTCCCTATAAGGAAATTACATTAGACACTTTGCGTAGGATCCTCAACAAAGCTGGAACTAGAGTGGCATTTAAACCTATAAACTCACTCAGAGACCAGCTCTATCGGTTCAAAGATTCGATAGAACCAATTGAGGAAAATAATCTAACCTATCAAATTCCATGTAATACTTGTGAAGTCAAGTTCATAGATCAAACTAGCCCGGCTAGTCAGGGTCAGTTAGAATTGCCAAACATAGGGATTTAGCTGAATATAGAATAACAGACCCAAATAAGATGAGTAATCTAGAAAAAGCACTCGGTTGTTGCAATGGACGCTTCAACACACAACCACAAAATAGAATGGGTGGGATAGAGCCAGTGTATTTAAGTCCAACATA